ATTTTGTTGATGTAAAAAACAACAATCAGATTAGTATTCTGTTGGTGTAAAAAACAACAAATAGAATAGTATTCTGTTGGTGTAAAACACAACAATTAGAAAAGTATTCCGTAAGTGAAAAAACAACAATTAGATTAGTATTCTGTTGGTGTAAAAAACAACAATCAGATTAGTATTCTGTTGGTATAAAACACAACAATTAGAAAAATATTCTGATTTTTTTCTGTGCAGAAGACTTATAATGTTTACTGAAACCTTGCCCAAGTTGTGAAGATACATGAATCGAATCGTATCGCTGTATCGCCACACTTATAGTAAATATTATCTAGTCCAGGGCTTTTGCCATTCTTTAAACTTCTCACTTTTTCTTTACAAGCTAATGTGATCACCTCGTTCAACCTTGTTTCAATCTAGCAACTATTCAGGTTGAGGAATAATGTTTAAACTTTCATTGGTAAAAGCTGAAGAAAACGTAGAATTTAATAACCTAGCCGTCCAATAACCATCAGATACTAGCCTAAGATATCGTCCCTCAAAGGTCCTACAGAATAATTAGGTTAATATTCTGTTAGAGTGATAAAAAACAACATTTAGATGACTATTCTATCAGAATGAAGAAAAAAGAACAGTTCGATCAGTATTCTATCAGTGTAAAAAACAACAATTAGAATGGTATTCTGTCAATGTCATAATAAAGAACAATAGATATGTATTGTGTCAGTGTAAAAACAACAATTAGATTACTATTATTTCGGTGTAATAAAACAACAATTATATTCTGTAAGTATAATAATAAAGAACAGATTACTATTATTTTTGTGTAATAAAACAACAATTAGATTCTGTAAGTATAATAATAAAGAACAGATTACTATTATTTCGGTGTAATAAAACAACAATTATATTCTGTAAGTATAATAATAAAGAACAGATTACTATTATTTTTGTGTAATAAAACAACAATTAGATTCTGTAAGTATAATATACAGTATCATACTTTGTTATATCATACTTGATATACAGTATCATACTTTGTTACTATCTTATATCATATTTTATATGTAGTGCTATAATATTTCAGTTGAAATGTTGTAGACTATAGTAAGCAATGCTTCTCAACTGGGTGAATGGTTCACCCAGGGGTTTTGTTTATAATATTATTTTACTAGGTATAGCCTGTCAAAAATGACGGGGCAAGTACAACCACCCCCACCCCATAGTATACCCTAACTTCACATTTCATAGCTAACTAAAATATATACATTTTGCAAAATCAAGTTTGACCAACAAAGAGACAGAAAAGTGAAGTTAAACGTCGGTAAATTCCTTTGTGAGCCAATTGAAATTAATATAATTCATGAAATGAATTCGTGGCAGATTCATAGAATAATTACTGGTAAAAATCAGTTAAATTAACAACTTCTAATACATAGAAAAGACAGTGCGTTTTGGTAACACTATGTTCCAACAATGGCTTTTATGTCATGTTACTTAGCAACAAAAGTATGACCTAATATTGTTGTTAGTCTATGTACTAAAAGTATAAAATGAAATGTATAATAGACAACAAAACTGTAAAAATATTTGTTGATTTCTTAATTTAGAGATTAAAGAGGTTTGTTTTTTACTAAAAACATTGGTGATATAACGGAAAACAGTTTAATTCAGAAACGATTTAAGTTTAAAATTGACTCGATATTTTTACTTTCATATTACACTAAAATCGTAATGGGCATACAGTAATCGAAGTATTCTATCTGGATAAATGCATTTTGACTTTTATGACTCCTCCTATTTCGAGAAATGAAGCGTGACGTGACACACACTGACAGTTATATAGGTTAGATTCATTCTGGTTGTAATTTGATGTATATTTAAGTCATAATAAAGAATTTTACATTTTTATTTAGTACTTTTTGTCTTTTTTTCGAACTGTGGTGAATGATATCAGAAAAGGTTGATAAGCACTGGACTATAGTACTATTGTAATATCGGTGTGAAGAGTGTTGTTTCCAAATCAACAACAAAAATTCAAATTCCCCTAGTAACTTCACTAACATTTGCTAATGTGTCTGTAATATTACAAAACGTTCCTCTTGATATGGATTCCTGTTCGTGGTGAAGGGAAGCTCAGCTTGTGCAGCTTACCTTCTCCGAGTTTCATTCCTCCACCCACCCACCCTCTCTTCTACTCCCTCATAACACTTTCAACTCGTCTAGGGAAGTTATTACCAAATTCGATCGTCTTGGTTGCTCACGGTTATGCACGATGAAAATCTAACTAACGTCTGTACTGAAGCATGCAAGCTTGAAACGCCATTATTAACGTGTTATTTTTGGCTATCCCTTCCATCATTTTAGTTTGGATTTAGATATCAATCTCCCTATTTCACAAAGTCTTTCTCAACTTACCTGAAGGCCTTGTCAACTCCTGGGGTACCATCCTCCAACAATACTATTTCTACCCTTATGTTTGATACACCCCCAATTTGGTCACTTTCAGCATGAATGTATGTGCTTCTATTGGCTGCGTCACACTTTTGTCTCTTCATTGGTCTCCAAAGAGAAGATGTAGACCAGGATGCTATAGTATTTGAACAACCATCTCATTTGGTCATTCTGGAATACTAATGGGCACAATAAACTCTTAAGCTATAATGATACGAAGAAAGAAGGAAATCCGTTGAACATTTTGCTTTGACCCCGACCTCTTCCTCGTTAATACTGATAATATCATGTGTTTTCATGCCAAAAATAAGAATTTTTTTCTTCCATTGGTCTGTTTGTTTTCCTTCCAATTTCCCATTTTTTAGTTGGACTTTGAACTATATGGCAGCGATAAGTTTCCACCATTCTAAGAAAAAGACAGGTCACAGTCAATCTAACTCTTAGTATGTTGAAACAAGGCCTACATACAAGCAACAACATATCTCTAGTACAAGATATTAAGCGTTACATTACACCAGTGATAAAGTACTTCTAGGACTAAATATAGGCAACGAAGTATCTTCAGCACGGTGTATTTCCTAGAAGTACTTTATCACTTGTGTAATGTAGCGCTTAATATCTTGTACTAGAGATAAGTTGTTGCTTGCATGTAGGCCTTGTTTCATGTATTTAGTCCTA